GATCAATTAAAAATGAAACTAATATTAGAGTTCCCATTATATAAATACATATAGCAAATATTTGAGCTTTATATACTGATTCTAAACGAAATTTATATAAACAAGATGATTCATATGATGTACCATTATCATTAAAACATGATGGTGGAATAGGTATATGTAATTTAGCAAAATCTGATATACCTATAAGACCACAACAATGAAGACGTTTATGAACACGATCTAATATAATATCAAATGTTATATTTATAATTGAATAACTGTTTCCATAATAATAAAGATCATTATATGATAATGATTTATTATGTATAGATTGATGTGAATATGTTAATAGTGCATAATCATAATGAGCCTAAAATCAAAATAGTAAAGAAATTTTTTTAATTAGAAATATTTAACTTTAAAAAATAATGAAGCCGGTGCACCAATTTGTCTTTCATCAAAAAATATAACTGAACCAATAAGTAATGAACATGAATATGTAAGTAAAAGAAGTAATCCATGAATAATAAGAAAAATTTTTGATTCAAAATAAACAGCATTAATACCATATAAAGATATACATATAATTGATATTGAACCACCAATACAAATTGATATAAGAAAATAAAAATCCTTAATAATTGTTGATTTTTTTGGGGCATACTTTTCATGATTATTTATTGTTGTTCGTCGTGCAGTAAGAATTGATAAAACGAATACTGTTATAGCAAGAATTATAGTTAATATACTCAATATATAGAGTAAAAGTTTAGTTAAATTAAAAATAAAACGATCCATTTTTTTGCCTTTTTGTATTTTTTTTTCATTTAATAAATAGGCGCTTGAATTATTACTTGCGGGTGCATTACATAATGATCGTATTAGTTTACTTGCACTTGGACATCGACATTTTTATGGTTTTGATGACATACCACTTGATTATGATACTGCATATGGTTTGTATTATTATTATTATTTTTTTTTTTTGAAATATTAATATTAAACTTTTGTTTACTTTTTAGTTTATTATCAACAAATGGCTGACATATCTAGACGTGAATTTTATCATCCAAAAACAGGCGAAGTTAGTTAATTTGAAAAAAATACAATTTGAAAGAAGTGTTGTAGTATAGAAGTAAAAGTTTGGACTATTCGATCTACACAGTCGAAAGCTTGAAATGCGAGTTGCTAGCTTGAAAAGAGTGTTCTATTCCTCAGAAATGATAGTATGTCAGAAAAGAAATAAAAGGTTTTTTTTTGAAAACAATTTTGAACTTTATAAACTCAATGCAATTTATTGTACTGATTTCGAATATCATTTTAACTTTTCTTTAAAGTCTATTATGGATGCTTCAAAACAGATTTTCGAATAAAAAAACAGGACTTTTGCAAAAACTCTGAAGTCGTCTTAAAAAACATTTGACACTTTGACCATCATTAAGATCGTTATGCAAAAATACTTGGTGAAAAGTTGAGCTCGATCAGAAATAATTTCATTGTACGGTTTACAGAGTTTGTAGTGATAGATTGTTAGACTGAATCTTGCATTAAAAATAAACCCAAGATTTTCTCAAAAAGTATTACATATAAAAAAATATGGTTCGATGCAACTTGAAAAGCCGATTCATAATATTCTTCTAGTTTCTCGTCAAATTGTAATACAAATGTCTAAACATAGATTTCCAACTAGAAGTTTCGAATTTTTATGAACTTGTAAAATTCACGTAGGAAAACTTTGATGACTAGAATCAATATATATAGAAGTATTGGATGAAAATTTCAGCTCAACGGGACGTTATCCCATTGTAGGAGTTTGAGATATACACTCTTTATTTTCTACTGTGTTTTAAATTGAATTAGGATTAATGTTTTTTTTTTTTTTGTTTATATAAACATCATACATGAGTAGATGTTGTTTCCTAGTGCAATAATGCGGAGTGGCTTGACTTTCTTTATTTAAACAAATTTTTAGTTTAAAACCTTAGCATGCCTAATACCAAGGTTGTGTGAAAGATAATAGGTCCCATATATAAATGTTTATTCCAATAACTACATTCTAGAAAAGAATACTTTTTTTTATATATCTGTGTGGCTCTTTACAGACTGCATATCAATAAGATTTCTTATGAATATATGAATTATTTCTGCATGTTAAAAACTTATTTTTTATTAATTAAAAAATAAAAAAATATTAATCTAGGCTGCCATGGAACATATTCATCTTACTGATAAAAAACTTCTTGATGGACTTACATTTGATAAAAGTGATTCATTCTATTGGCTTAAACAACAAGCAAGACGTGGTGTTGCTTCAGCTCAAGTAATATTATTTTAATTGTTTTTTGTGTATACATAAAAAAAAATTATCTATGCTGTTTATTTAGCATCACTTAGGTGCATTAATGTATGCTGGTCGAAATGGTTTAACACGTAATATTCAAGCAGCTGTGGAATATTTTCGTTTAGGTGCTATTCAACATGATGCTTCATCTCATTTTGGCTATGGATTAGCTCTTCTTAAAGTAAATTTCTACTAGTTTCATTTTTTTTTTCATAATTCAAATATGAAATATGTTTAGGGACAAGGTACAAAACAAAATGTAACTGAAGCCGTTCGACAAATTGAAAAAGCTGTTGAACGTGGTTTACTTGGTGCAAAAGTTGCTTTAGGTTTTCTATCAAAAAAAAAAAGGAAAGAGTTTCATTGAAATTTTATCGTATTTCGTTTAATTAAGGATATCATGCATATGAAATAGAAAAGAATTATACAAAAGCTGCACAATATTGGAAAGAATGTTTTGAACAAACACATGATGCTTATTGTGCTCATAATCTTGTTAGTTTTTATATAATTTTACTTTTTCTCTTATATAAAATAAATTAAATTTTATTTAGGGTGTTATGTGGACAGCAGGTCGTTATCCACCAAATTTTATTGTTGATCATGTTCAAGCTTGGCAATATTATTCATTTGCTGCACAACATGAACAAATTGATTCAAAAATTGTTGTAGCTTATTATAATGCTCGTGGTGGTCATCCTCGTGTTATGAGAAATCCTTGGCTTGCAGCTATGTAAATTTTAATCTTTTTATATATGTATATAGATTAAATAATGTTTATTTAGTTGGTCACGTAATGTTGCTGAAGAAAGTTCAGCAGTAGGTACAATTGTTCGACGAGCAGTTGAAGCTTATCGAGATCGACGATGGTAGAAAATCTATGAATATTTTTGATGTTCATTTGTTTTGTAAATTTATTTATTTATTTATTTATTTGTCTATCGATAGGTATACATCATTTATATTTTATATACAAACTGCATTAGCTGGTATTGAACTTGGATATTTTAATGCTGGTTTTTTATGTAATGAATTAAAAAAGTTACATAATGAAAGTACATTTAATTGTGTTGAACAATTACTTATTAGATATTTAATGGTACATGGTAATAATAAAAATACAGATTCTTATGCTTTATTAAATGTTGCTGAATATTATCAATTGAAAAAAAGAAATATTACAAAATCTATACAACTTTATATTCAATTACATCAAAATGGTGATGCTCAAGTAAAAAAAAATCGATTTATCTAAATGATGAAAATATTGAGTATTCTTTTTTGTTTTTTTGAATATTATATTTAGGGTTTATATAATTTAGCTCAAATAGAAGAAGAAGCTGATTCGAATAATACAATTGCATTGAATATTTGGGCTCAAGTTGGTATTAAATTTAATGAAAAAATTGTAACAAATCGATATCGACGACTACAATATGTTTATGAATAGTATGATTAATTTTATATATTCTTATATGAAAATACTTAGAGTTTGAATTGAGAAAACTTATTGAAAGGAAAAAAATAATTGAAGACATATTTTTGATCAAGTTTCTTATGAACACCCTAGTCATAGACGACAGAACTACAAGATTTTAATAGGATCAAACACTTTTATTTTTGCCAATTTTGGTGACTAAGATTATATACCTATTAAATATTTTCTATAGGAAACATACTCACAATACAAATATCTTCTTTTTGTGAACATTTGTGTTTTTCTATTAAAATTTTTTTCAATAAAACAGATCAGAAATTTTTCTTTCGAAGGTTATATTTCAATGCAAGTTGTAAACTCTTTCTCTAATCTTCATTTATTCTTATACGTTGTAAAGTGTAAATTTGAAAAAAAAAACAAGTATTATCTTTATCAGAATACCATACAAGAACTGGTGTTCTCTTATTTTCAACTTCTAGATGCAAGTTTTATATAAAAAACAAAAAATGCTCAACTTGTCCGAGAATTAAAACATTTTGCTAGTTATGACACTAGTATTTAGAGATATGCAGAAAAAGCTTTTTTTTTAAATATCCTGTATCTTAACTGAGACAAGTTTTCTAATTCGTACCCGATCCTACAGAGTAGGGCAAGGTAATCTTACGTATCTCTACTCTTATCTATAGTTGTTAATTGTAATTATATTCCTATCGAATAACAAACCATATGGTTGATAATAGATGTAAGGATATAATATCTATTATTATAGGCATACTGCATTGTTGAATTTACTTCGTTAAGATTATTCAAGTGAATAGTTTTTCAAAGATTTTTGTATTCGATGTTTTTTAAATTTTAGTTGTCGAAAATTAAAAACAGCAAAATCTGATGAATCTTATATTCCTTGTACATTAGCGTATTTAAGAGTTTCAATAATCATTTTATTATATGAACAATCGAAGGTATATATTTGTTTATTTCTCTATAAATAAATAATATTCATAATTTCTACTATTTAGATTGTTATAACAATAATTCTTATGATATTATCAACATTTTTATTCATTAATCGAACATGAAATTTTTATTTTTTCAATATTGAATTGTTATTCAATGTTGGAAAAAATAAAGTTTAATTTTTTTGTTTATATATACAATCTATTCATTTTTATTATCTAACATTGTTTTTTTTATGAAAATACATATATATTTCTATCTATATCTGACTAATTGAAAGTTTTAGACTAGTATAAGATCATCAATTTTAAAGTCAATCGATGCAGCTAAACGTCGAATATAATCACTTGAACTTGTACAACGATATTTAGGTTCATTTAAATTAAATATACCAGTTTCATTTGAACTTCCAACAAATTCAATTAAACGCATTGATGTTAATAAAGATAATTGAGTATAGATTTGTGTTGTTAATGGTATTGTATCACCTTGTAATGAACAATATATAGCTAATAGACGATTAAGTGATATGGGTTTATTTGATGATAATGGTAAATATTCAATTTTTGATGATTCAAGTTGTGTTCGTTTATGCATTATTTTCGCACGTCGACTTTTTTTACCTTGACTTTGTTTATCATATAACATACGATCATATTTTATTGGATTTTGTGTTGCTAAATAAATAGCAATTAAGAGAAATTTTGCTGATAATGGAAGATCACGTGTATTATTATTATTAATAGTAGATATTTGAGATGAATTATCAGTTGTTTCTTCATCAGCTGTATGTGTATGAAGAAATTTTCGAATACTCATTGAACGTGTATAAACAGAATTAAGAACCTATAAATGAAAAAAAAATAAATAAATACTTTGAAATAAGAGATATATTATCATTTCAAATATATAAATATTTTTTTCGCATTTCTAATGATTAAAGAAATATTATTAGAAAATCTACTAGATTTATATCGATTCTCATGTTTAATAATCTCTTAGATAGTGTTCGTATAGTGTCAACTGAGATTTTTTTTTTTATACATAAAAGTTGGACCAAAATTCTTGACTCGTTGTTTTTAATAGATGTTTTCATACAAATAAACCTGTACACAGAATTGTTTTTATAGAGAAACAATAAAATGCAATCTTTAAAATAAATATAAATTGATCCATACAGATGATAATCATTAATATTTGAATCATTAAAAATGAAATGAATCCTACTTCAAACATAACAAACATCGTTGATGAATTACAATGTTATGAAAATTCTTCTTGTTGAGGTCAAGAAGCATTGAGACAAAAAAATTAACATTTAAAAAAGGTGAAATTCCAAAAACAAAAAGTAATTTATAAACTTGAATCTATTATTTACATAAGATGCTTCACTTTTAAAAACAGGATAGATGTGAGAGAACGATTAGATCAAATTAACATAATAGCTATCCAATTCATCATAGAACGATTTCAAAGTGATTTCGAAATGTAAATCGATCATTTGAGTTAAAGCTTCTTCGCCATTTCATCTTAAGTGATTAAAATATTAATAATTAATAAGCTCGAGAAATCAATTTTGTAATCATTTTGAAGAGTATGTTTTACTAGGTTTTTCTCTATAAAAACAATTCTTGGTTTTGATTTTACTCATTCTGAGAACTTCTGGTTACGAATCTCAAGCCAAAACTTCAAAATGAGAACATTAGATTGAATCTATTTTAAATAAATACCTGCATAAAAAATTCTTTTTGATACAGCATTCGATAATCATTATTAGTTCCATCATCATTGATCTGATTTTTTGTTGTATTACGTAAAAAATCTTTAATACACATTGTTATCATATCTTTTAATTCGACAAGATCATTTGTAACAGTATAAAAAATTTGAAGTGCTAATTCAATTATAATATGTAATTGACTAATAGATGATGGAAGAATATCTTGTTGTTCTAAAATAAAAATATATAAAATTCTTTTTTTTTAGAAAGGTTTTTTTCGAAATTCTGAGACGATTTTAAAATTTGTCGTTTTTTTATTTTATATTCAATATCACGTAACCACAAAATGTCAAGTCTATTGTTTTTGCTATGTATGAGAAACTAATAACATTATCATATAATATTTTATCAATATTCTAATACGTTTAATTGATAAAGTTTTTCTATGAATGAATTGTAAGAATTCATCAAACCACAAAGTAATGATCGTCGCAAGAAAAAGTATTTTACTGTTGATAGATATGCAGAATTCACGCAAATTACTGTAGCAGAAATAGCAGCGAAGTGATTTGATGATTTGCAAAAAAAAAAGAAAAAAAGTAATTTTTTCAAGATGATTTAGATTCCAAACAAAATTCTGCCCTTTAGCTACCTTGCAGCAGATCCAAAGGTTCAACATCTTTCCGATAACTATGATTACATGTAGCTCTGGACAGAAGGCCGACTTGACGCAGAGTTCTTGTACTCAATTGTTTGAGTTCCTCATACACACTAACTAATCACAAGTGCAAGTGTATTTTATAAAGTAGTGAGCATACTATTGGATGAGTGATCCAAGACAAACAGCCGTTAGTATTTTGTTTAAGGAGATTAGTGACTGGCATATTTAAAACTTTGTAATTATTAAATATGAATTAGATATAATAATCTATGAAAATTGCAGAGTTTGTTTTAGCTCAAATCAGTGACGATGAGTATTTAAACTCATTTCAGAATTTCCGGAACACAAAAAAAGAAGAAGAATAATTCATACGTGTTAAAATATTTTGTAATATTGTAACAATTTCTGTACGAGTATAAGCCGGTATAAATATAGTTGTTGGTGTTAATACACCTAATTCAACTTCAATTTGATTCATATGTGGTAATTGATAAAATGGTTGATGACCAATTAATATAAGTGTATGATGAAAATATCCTAATGTTAATTCATTTAATTTAAATAGAAGATAAAGTAAATGTCCTGTTGTATCATAGTTTGAAATTTTTCATTGTTGGAATTGTATCATTTGATAATAATGAAATAAATATATGATAGAACATATTTAATGAATATATTTCACGACAATCAAACCATAAAATCGTATGTTTATATTGATTAAGTACATGTTTAATAATTGTTGATTTTCCTGTATTATTATTTCCATGTATATAAACATGTGATGGATATGGTATGGTAGGATTTGGTGAAAAAAGTTTTTCTAATGATGAATATATTGATAAACGACATGAATAACTATCTGATAATGACATCTGAAAGATTGATTATTTATAAATATAATTTATTCTTTTAATATTATATTTTCAAAAAAAGAAAACAAAAGAAAATGAAAATCTATGAGAGATAAGAATAAAAGAGAAAAAGAGAGAAAATAATAAAATAACAATATCAGAAAAACAAAAAATGTATCACAGTGAACCCAACATCATCTGTCCTAGGTATTATAAGTGAATATAAAGATTGAATTTAGTCAAATCAATTATCGTATGTGTGAGTTTTGCTTCATCAAATCATCAATCTAAAATAAAAACAAAACATGAAATAAAAAAAATAATGTTATGCTAGTAAACTAATTGAACTCGGCCGAGAAAAAATCAATTTGAAACTTTAAGAATAATGTCTCTCTTTTTTTTTGTTTTTTGAAACATGTATAAGCGATCCATGTGAAATTTCTATAGGATCACATCGGACATATTTACGATCTACTTCTAACTTTTAGTGCGATCGAATAAAGTTAAAAGAGAGTCATAAGCAGGTTTAATACGAACCTATGAAAAACTTTATTTAAAATTATCTTTCTCGAACACATAATCATATTTCTGTTAATAACTATAACTTAGATTAATTTAAATAAGCAATAATTATGCATGAGGAAATAATATGTGTAACTAAACTAGTATAAAATTTACTCTCTGTAACATAAAAGAGAATTAATAAGAAACTTTATGTTAAAATTTGAAGAAGTATTTTATGAAAATCTCAATGTATAGAAGATCATAATCGAATTCTAAAACACAGTGTCCTACAATTACTATTGCTAATTAATATTTATGAGAATATTATATAGGTTATTATATAAATTCTGATGAATCTTTCTATCATATTTTATGATCTACTAGAATCTGTTTGAGTTCTTGTTTCTTTACATTGTATCGTATTTTTCACGATATTTTTCATTTGATTTTACTCAAGATTTATTGATTCAAAGTGTTTAAAGATTATCTATTTAAAATTCTACAAAAAAAAACCTATTTCTTTATGTTAGATTCGTTAAAAATTGAATAATCACTAAACATGAAATGATCAATAGAGAAGGCTCAGAATTTGAAGAAATAGTTTACATAATCAAAATCTCAATCGTTTATTATCTCTAATCATACTGTATATATTTATAAATTATTTATTCGCATTTATTGTCTTCTAATATAATTATATTAATGTAAATATCTATAAATTAATACTAATTAATCAATCTTTTTTGAAAATATTACATATTAAATTCTAATTGATATATTATCTAATTAATAAACTAACCTGAGCTCGATAAAGTGTTTTAACATCCGCTAGATCAAGTCGAAGTTCATCAGCTTCTTCTTGTTTTTCTCCATACATTGTTAAAAGTGCATTATAACGTTTTTCTAATTCCTGTGAAATTAATGATTTAAAAAAAAAAATAAAAAACAATAAGTTTATTTATTTTCTTAGCATACTTTGTATTGTTCATTTAGTATTGGATAATTTTGTGTTTGATATTGTAATTTTTCATTTATTGTAGATAAATTAACTAATTCACGTGCCATTGATTCTCGTGTACGTTCTAAATCTGAAATTTCACTCTAAAAAAAAACAAAATACAAAATATAATTTCTAAAAAGAAAAAGAAAATCTTTATACTTGTAATAATGTTATTTCTCCTTCTTTTTCTTTTAATTGTGCTTCTAAACTTTCAAGTACAGCTATTGCGCCTGTATTTCTTAAAGTTTCATATACACTTGGTTTTGGTGTTGGAACAAACTAAAATTAAAAAATAAAATAATCTCTATTGATATTTTCCTTTCTTTTTTTTATTTTAGTTTTCTTTTTGTATTACTGGAGAACGTTCAAATGAAAATGAAGATGGTGTATCATGTCCACCGGATGAACGTCGACTACGTTGTTGTTGAAGTGTTGATTCAAGATTTGAACTCGAACGACTTATTGTCTGTGTTTCAAATAGATGTTGCTATGGAAACAAAAAAAAAAGATTGTAGTTTTTTTTTTGTTAAGTTTGAAACTTTATTTACTTGTTCTTTTAATGCATCATGAACAATTTGTAATCGTTTTAAATCACTTTCATATTTTGTTTTTTCAAGCTCAGCATCTAATTCAAGTTGTCTCTAAAAAAAGAAAAGCAAAGTTTTGAAAAAAAAAAATTTAAAATCGTATTAAAACCTTTTCTTGTATAAGACTATTGATTTGTTGAGTAAATGCTTCTTGCATTGTTTCAATTTGAGTTTTTTCTCTATAAAAAAAAATTTCATAATCGATTTATTTTAATTCCTAATGGTAACAACTAGAACGAATCAAAGGAAAGATTTGACAAGTTGAAAATAATTTCTTATCAGAAAAAGTACTTAGGGCAAACCAAAAGTTCGTAGAACGGTTTTAAAGAACCTTGTCGGATAAGGTAATCTATTCAGAAATGAAAAACCAAATATACCATGTTGTAGAGCTTTTTGAGGCGCGTCGAATGGTATATAATAAATCCTGTTTTCATAAGACTTTGAAGGAACTAGAGTCAATTTACTGATAGACGACTACGCACCCACACTCACATCCACCCATACCCATACTGACAAGATGACTGCATATATGAGGTTGTAGCCCGTCAAAAAACTCTACAAAATCGTATGTGAGAAAAATTATTTTACAAATACTTTCGACTAATCCCAAGGACCACAATATTCAGTGACCTATCATACTTAGGTGAGGGTGTGAGTATGGGTGCGTAGTTGTCTATCAGTAAATTGACTCTAGTTCCTTCAAAGTCTTATGAAAACAGGATTTATTATATACCATTCGACGCGCCTCAAAAAGCTCTACAACATGGTATATTTGGTTTTTCATTTCTGAATAGGTTACCTTATCCGACAAGGTTCTTTAAAACCGTTCTACGAACTTTTGATTTGCCCTAAGTACTTACGAAGTCTTCATTAACAGTAACAAGTTCATCTTATAGAAAAAAAAACATTTTGAGATGTCTCTGATCTTCCTATTATCTATCTTCAACCGATGGCAATCATTCTATGAAAGCCTCATTCTTAAGTTTATCCTTTTCTCTGATTTGCTTTAGCTGTTATAACTGAGGAAAAAAAATCAAAAAAAGTATTTTCTCTCTAAACTTTTTGGTTCTATTTTAGATATTATTTTTTTTAACCTGTGTTTAGCATCTTCTAGATTAGTTAATTTCATTTTAAGAATGTCAATTTCTGATGTTAAACGTGTTTTATCTTGTTTATATGTTGATAATTGTGCTTCAGCTAATTTCCATTTAGCATTCGTTTCTAATAATGTTTCATTAGCTACACGTTCATGTTCAACACTAATGGCATATTGTGCTTGCATTTCAGCTAAACATAACGAAAAAAAGAAAATTTTATTTGAATGAATTATTATTATTATTGTTGATGTACCAAGACGATCAGTTAATTGACGTTCTGTTTTTTCAAGAGAATTTATCTGTGTTACATATGTTGTTTGAAGGTTTTCAATTTGACGAAGAAGTGGACGTGTAGCTAAGGAAAGAAAAATGATAAGAAATTTTAATTATAAGAAATAAGAGAGTTTACCATTGGATATATTTTGTGTTAATTCTTCATTTCTTGATTCAGCTTCTTGAAGTCTCTAAAATAAATTAGAGTGATTATGTTTTTGTTTTGATTCGATTAGAAATTTATAGAAAATCGATATTTCATTATTTTAAAGATTTTAAAATTAATTCAATTTAAATAGATTACTTTTCAGATATCTATTGAAAGCATCATCACAAAAAACCTATATGCTTTTGTATAGTCTCTGATACTCTATTTGCTTTGATTTATGTTAATGTTTTAGGCAGCAAAGGGAACGAGAAAGCAGCGTCTCTTCAAAGATCAAGAAGACTGTTTTGAAATTTGCAGTTATTATAGCACGCCCTATGTGTCTGTTCTCCAAATAATAGATGTTTACCCATTCGAAAGATAAAATTTCTGTAAAGCATTGCTTTATGCAGGTATTTCGAAGTTATGATAGATAAAATTGAATTTGTAAGAATTAATTTGATTGATTTGTACAACTTCAAAGATTTAAATTCGAGTATTAATTTCAATTTCAAATTTTAGAATTATGATGATTCACTATCGGAAGATAAATCGCAAAATCCAGCTTTCTACACAAGAAACTTACCAAATAATAAATCATATTTAAGATGAGTCTTACTAAAATTTCAAACAATTCATCTCTACAAATCGTTTTATAACATAATCCTCTGATTTTTTTTTTCTTTCATCATTCTTCAAAATTGATTTTCCAGTATCTAATTCAAACTATTCACAAACAATATTCTTAACAGAACAAATTTTCTATGATCTTTTTATCATAATATTTTCTTAGCAAACTCTTCAAAATTGATCATAGTTCAAAACACCAAGATTCTACAAGCATAAGTCATTTTAATTTTTATCTAATCTCTATAGAGTTTATCTAAGTAAATAAGCTTTATCTCACAAATAATTTCTTATTTAATCAATAGTCTAATATAATTAATAAAATATGATCTAATATTAGAATAAAATGAAAATATACTTGTCGAAGATCATTAATTTCTTGTCTTAAAACTTGTTCTCTTCTATTAAGTTGAACTTCACTTCGTTGAATGGAATGTCGTAATTCATCAATAGTCATTTGTAATTTTTCTTGTTCTTGTCTTGATATAATACGTTCTTTTTCAACAGCCAAACGAATTTCTTCTTTTAATAATATTTCAGCTGATAATGTTGCTTCAACAACTTTACTTTCTGTTGCTGCTTTTGTTTTATTTAATTCAGATATTTCTCTATAATGTTAATCAATCAAGAAAAAAGAAAGAAAAAAGAAAATTATATAAAAAAAAAAAAAAAACAAAATTTTTTGATTTACTTATAAGAATTTTCAAGTGCAACTTTTGTACTACGAATTTGTTCTTCAGCATCTTCATATAAGGATTTTAATGATATACATTCTTTTTCATAATGTATTGCAGATTTTTCAAGTTTTTTAACAGTTTCTAAACATATAGAAAAAATATTAATTGATGCCAAAAAAAAGAAAGAATTTTTTTTTATATACCTTTTAATTGTTTTTCATTTTCTTCTTTTTCTTGTAGATTTTTCTTTGCTTCATCTAATTCAGTTGTTAATTTATCAATTCGAACACTACAATTAATTTAAATAGAAGAAAAGTGAAAAAGACAAAAAAAAAAAAAAGAAGGGATTAACATACTTCAATGATGCTATTAAAGTTTCATGTTCTTTTTCTTTAGTTCGTAATCTTTTTATTATATTTGTATGTTGTAATTGAGTTTTAGATAATTTTTCACCTTCATCAAGTAATTGTTGTATTTGTTCTTCTTTTTCACGTAATACAGCCATTGTATTACCCGATGATGTTGAACTAAATAGAAATTATTTATAATTAATCTAAATCAAAAGAAAAACAAAAAAAAAAAAAAAGAAGTTCTATAGACTTTTCAAATAATTGTTTTTGTAATGTATCAAGTTGTCTTCGAAGATGATCACGATCCTGAAATAGAAAAATTTCTTATTTAAACGTCTTATGATTCATAAAAATTTCAGTCAATAGTATATATTTTTGTCTAACATTTATTTTCATTAATGATAATTGACTGATCGATTATTTTAGATATTAAATTATAATAAGTGAATGTGAGATTAAATGATTAACAAAAAGTTTTGATGCATTTCTATTATTCCTCAGAGAAATGTTCTGCGATTTATTCTGTCCCATGGCGTTTGATTAGAATTATTAACAATCAAAAATCAATTAGAAAACTATTGGGATTATAAATATCATCTTTATTGTAAGCTCTCTCAATATTACGAGAACAAGTATGATGGTACAACAGTTTTATTTCTTAATCAGTTTTGTTTGCATAATGACTATATAAAATTGATCAGTAGAGTTATACAGGGTGTAACATAACCATTACGCTCCCCTCTAGAACTTGAAGTATAAATGATATCAAAGAATTTTATATACTAGATTAATGCTCGTCAAAAACTGGATTTATGATTATAATTAATAGATTTTAGAACAATTCTTGCCTATGAAATTACTGAAATGTCTTGAAATACATGCCGAAATGTGCTCGTATTTTACGATTTTCATTCTTTATGTAGATATTTTCACCAAAATAATAGCAGATTCGTAATCTTCATAAAAAACTGCATCTATAGACATGTCATTTGAATGTTTTTAACGAAAAAAATTTTTTTCAAAAACCTTGCGTGATGTGTATTTTAGGCATAAAACGCGCATTCCTTAGGATTTTTTTTTCGTTAAAAAGATACAAACGACATGTCTATAGATGCAGTTTTTTATGGAAATTACGAATTTGCTATTATTTTTGGTGAAAATATCTACATGAAGAATGAAAATCGTAAAATATGAGCACATTTCTGCATGTATTTCAAGACATTTCAGTAATTTCATAGACAAGAATTGTTCTAAAATCTATTAATTATACTCATAAATCCAGTTTTTGACGAGCATTAATCTAGTATATAAAATTCATTGATATCATTTATACTTTAAGTTCTAGAGGGAGACGTAATGGTTATGTTACGCTCTGTATTTTTAAATTGAGTTTGGATACAAAAATTGTTAATGAAGACTGACCGGTGAGTTTGAAGAACGAATTTTGACATATCATTGATATAAAAAGCATGAAATATTAGTTAAAGATTGTCAAATTGTTCAAAAATATGATAAATTCAACAAAATTACGATATCTTTTCTAAGGAAGTTCAATTAGATTTAAGAAACCTATCACTGAAATGACTCAGTCTTGTAAAATTCAGAAAACTTAGATTTTGACGTTCGTTTAAATTCATATATAGCGCGAAACTATTCATTATCTAGTTATATAGAAAATTCTTTCGTTCAAGTTTTTTTTTTGATATAAGCTTTAATATTCGAACGAATCTTTTTTTCTAACTATGAGAACTTTATATCCAAAAATATTGAATATATTACTTGTGCAATATGTCTTTGTTCTTCAATTTTCATTGAAAGATTTTCAATTGTTTGTTGAAATTCCATCGTTAAACGAGATGTACGTTGTTCTGATTCTGTCAATGATCTATTTATAACAATAAAGAAAAGAAAAATAATATTAAATTACGAATTTTCTTTCATGTAATTTACTGTTTCAATGATTGATTAGTTCGATGTAATTCATTAGATTCATTTGTTAATTTTTTTAAAGCTTGTTCACGTAATTCAAGACATTCTTTTAATTCACCTAATTCCTATTATTAATAAAAAGAAAACAACATCATTCTTTTCTATATTAAATATCAATATAATCATCACAAACTTTCAAAGTGTCTGACGTATAGAATTCTAAATTTCAAAAATAAAATCAAACTTAGAAAAAGAAATAAAATACATACTTTGCTGTTCATCATCATTCTCTTCATGTGACTAATTTAAAAACAAAACAAAACCTTATAAATAAATAATTATCAATTCTTACATTTTGATAGTGATTTTGTTCAGTAGCTGCCTCATCAATTAGAGTTGACCATGTTGGTGTATCAAAATTTGATGTAGTATTTTTATCAATATTATCCATTGATAATGGATGATGATGATATTTTAAATTTGTTGAATGTGATGGAAAACGTACAACAACCTAAATATATTTAAAACTTAAATAAAATTTAATAAATCTAAAATAAATTCAAACCTCACGTACTGCAGTTCGTCGAGCATCACGTAATTCTCGACATTTATCAAATGTTTCTGTTGTACTAACTGGTAAACCACCAGTTACACTTGGACATGATATTACTTCAATATCTGATGATGCACATGATGTTTGTTTACCATCATCAGATGATCCTTTACTATTCTAAATTGAAATTTAAAAAAAAAGAATTTTTTTTTTCTTAGTATTATGAAAAACTAACTGTATCATGTCCATTAGATGATGATATAGTATGAGTTGGTGAATTTGATTGTTCAACACATGCATTACTATCTTCTTCGTCTGTTGAAATAGGTTCTAAGTGTGGTTCTTTATCATGATTTGTTGTTTCAACAGGTGTTGGTGTTAAATCATCATCAATTATTGATGTTGTTAGAAAATTATTTGGTGGATATGATGATGTATATAATAGAGGTGATACATCAGTATCATCTTTGTTTTGTAATGTTTGTTCAGAATTATTTCTAAAAATTAATTTAATCAAAATGAAAATTGATGAGACAAATTTACAGTGTATGATTAATTTTTTTTTAAAGTAAACTTCTCAGAATACAAGATTAGGATCTTTCATTATGAAAATTCACATTGTTCCTACAAAGAAGACTTTTTATTCTGGGCTTGATGTTTTTCATGAGATTTATCTAGAAAATCGAAGATTTTTTTGAGAAACTTTTCTCGTATTCAAACAGATGTTGTTTTTTTTGACAAATAAGCTTCGAAAACCAGGATTTTTGGTAACAAGAAAACTTTCTAAGATGTCTCCTTTCTGATTTTAATAACTTCTTGGTTACAAATATTAAACAGTGTTCTAATCAAAAAAGCTAAAAGAATTTCGATCTAAAACCTTGTGCATATGAAGAACTCAACTATACGAGATTTCATAGATAATTGACAAGTTTCGAACAAATTCTCTTAGAACTATCAGATTTGCAAGATATAGACCCTTTTTCATAAATAGTATCTATATCATGCATTTTCTGAAAGCTTCATATCTCAACGAGAGTTTGTTTAAAAACTTCTGAATTCTTTTTTCTGAAAGCTAATCTAGTCGAGTTCTTTATATGCGTAAAATTTCAGATCGAAATTTAAAAATAAGAGTGTTTTGGAAACTCTCAAATGTGGAAAATAAACATATGAAAAATTTGATAGCTTAGCTGAATAGTAATAGCAGTTATAGTATTTATAGACAAAAAATTATTTCAATCGAAAGGTGATATCGGAGAAGCTTCCCTCGTAAGAAAAACACTTTTACGAGAAACAATTGGAAATATTAATTTAAACATATGATATTTTACTCGAAAGTCGAGGTTTTTAGATGGTAAAATTCGCTGAATTTTTGAAAAGTTCATAACCTTGCACTACGTATTGTGAAATGTTTTTTAAAGGTAACCTTGTAATAAGGTTGACCTTTTGTCCTTGGAAGAGAAGCAGCGATACATTTGTTGTTTTTTTTTTTTTGTAAAAAAAACTTGTTTTTATTTTAACGTGTTTGATTCAATTATTCAAGTAATTATTTTATTTTCGGCTATGAGAATGTCTAGGTTAATGTAACCTATTGTTTATTTTCAACAACATGTTATCCGAAAAATAATAGAAAATTTTTTGTAATATGTTTAAAAATTCATTAGTATTTTTTTAACTAAAAATAAATGTTCAAATCATCGATTAATCAAACTGTTATAGATTGCCTTGTCATTCAATTATTGTCATGGTTCGTTTACTATTTGTCATGCATTTTAAATCTATATCAATCAAATATTGTAGTCATGTATATAAATACTTATACAAAATGAATTTCTTCTGATAACTATTCTTTTTTTTTTTTTCTAATTATTATAAATTTCACATCAAGATATAATACATACTCTGTTGTATTAATCTCACGATTATTTATCCAAGAATCAATAACATCACGTTTATCAGATGGTAATGGTTGAATTGTTTCAGTTCGATGTTCAATATCAGATTCTATATTTTCATTTTCTTTATTTATAATTGTTGGTTCATTATCTGTTGTATTTTCAATAATTTGATCAATAATAGTCGATTCCGATGATGGAATATTTATTATTGGTTGTAGTGAAGTAGCACTTTCACTACTAGAACTTTCTGTTATAGTTGATGATTCAGTTAATGATGATGATGATGGTATTTGTTGTATACTAACAGATTCTGTTATTAATGATGATGTTTGTATATTAATAGATTCTGTTATTGGAATTTTTTCTTCGTCATTCGTATTCTGTTCGACTGCTATTAGGTTTGGCTGTGATTCTGAAGAAACCTTAATATTAAAGCAGAGAATAAAGAAAAAGAATTCTTTTTTTTTTGTTTTTTACTATTTGTGATTTATTATTCTGATCCGACCATAAATTCCAATTTGTAACTGAAACATCTTTTTCTACTTTGATTTCTTTTTTTTCTGTTTTTGGTGATGTTGAAGATTTTTGATTACCAAGAAATGTTGAAAAAAAATCATCATTTGTTGTTGCTGTTGTTGTTGACGGAGAAGGAGCACGAAGCGGATTACTTGTTTCAATATTAGTAACTAAATCATTTTAGAGAAAATTATTTTAAAACAAAAAAAAAATAAAAATAGAAACTCTTCAGTTTATTTTTACTTATCGGTTGCTGTTCTGTAGTAGGAGCACCATCCTTAATATCGAGGACTTTGTCTAAATAAATAAAATTTGTATTAGAAAAAACAAAAAAAGACAACAAAATCTAGAAAGATAATTTTTTTGTTATTTGAACCTATATGCTTTTGTGCATTGATTAATGTGTTGGCTGCTAATTCTTTAAGCTTATTTGGATCGATATTAAACCAGCTAGACATGATTGATGTCTACGATCAATCACTAAAATTCAATAAACAACGGTGTGTATGAAGAAAAAAAAAAGACAAGAACAATATGAATATGATTGAATATATTGGACAATATTAGCGACTTTCAATTGAATAGATTGGTTGGACCACGTCAACCAATTATGTGTTATCACTCCATGTAATTTGATAATAAAATAGCCATTTAAAAATCCCTTAGATGACTCATTTTTTTTATTGTTGAAACAAAAAAAAAAAAAAAAAAAAAGGTTTCATTCATCACATTTTTTTTTATCTTTATCAATCTTAAATTACGAGTATGTTCAAAAGTAGTAAAAATAACAAACCAAAAAAACGAACTAAAGAAGGCGGTGGTGGAGAAGCATTGATGCAACAGGTATATATAATTGTAGTCTTCTAGGTTTTTCATTCTGTATTGTTTGTTTCTATTTTTTTTTATTAAAGTTGGGCTTTCAAATGCCGAACTTCGATGAACCGAACCTCAATGCTATTGATGATGATGATGACGATGATGATCTTGAAGCTGAATTAAAACAAATGCAACAAGATGTTGGTGGTCATGCATCAAAACGTTCTAAAGCTAATTCAAAAAAGCCAGGTTTGTTGTTTGGAAATCTATAAAAACTACAGACACTACGAAAACTGAATAACGATATAGATCTCGAAATGAACATTTCATTCTAAGCAATGCTTTTCGTGAATACAGATGCTTGTTGTTTCTTCAGTTTTATTTAGTAAAAATGATGATACTTAGCTTCATATGTAATTGTACAGCATCTTCTATAAGTAAAAGATAAAAATAACCATGCATGTCTATGCCTATGAAAATTGCAGTGTAGAATAGCTATTCGTTTTGAACTCTACAATATTTTGAATATTTTTATTTCATATAGGTAATGCAGCTCCAGATCTTCAATCATTTCATAATGATGTTAATAAACTTCTCACGGATATTGATCGACCTATAAATGATGATGAATTATCTGAAGGTGACGAAGAGGATCTTCTTGTAAGTAGAATCATCATTATTATTTTTTTTTGTGTTAAATTTATCAGAGTTTACATTAACAATAGGCTGAATTACATGATATTGCTGGTGAAATAGAAAGTGAACAACAAGATAAACATATTGAAACAAAACAAGTACAATCAATATCAAATAGCAATATATTATCAATACTTGAAATACGTCTAGATATGTATAAAAAAGCTGTAGAAACAGCTAAAACAAGTGGAGATGCTTCGAAAATTCGACGACTAGATCGACAACTTAAAGTAAATTTATTCTCTTATGAAAGAAAATTTTAATAATGATATATATGTTTATTTATATTTAGCTTATTCAAGAATTACTTCAATCAGCTCGAATTGGTGCACAAATTAATGAAAATGATATTCCACCTGAACTTTTTATTCCTACATCTTCGTCATCTCAACCAAAAATCATTTCAGAAGACGTATCTGTTCGAGATTCTTCTCTTCCACCATCATCACTACCATCTGCAACATCTTTATCAATCGATAATAAACCAATCATTTCTCAACGTAACTAGAGTTATTTGTTTATAATCAAACACATAAGATAGTCACATTTAGAATCAGCACCAATCGTGTCAGCTTCTAATACAAATGATGCAGCTATTGAACGACTTAAATTATTAGCTTTACAAGCAAAAAGAGAAGGTGATATAAACAAAGCCAAAGAATATCTTATTCAAATGAAAGTATGATTTTTCACATATTTAAATCTTTAACGTTTTTTTAATTACTTTATAACATATAGACTTTGCAAGGAGGAGCAACAGTTGTTTCGAATCCGGCTCCTGCTCCTCTTCCCCCTTCTGTTCCTTCTTCTTCTGCACATATAGAAATACCTAATAATAATCCTGATGACGATGATTCATCCGCACTAATTGTACCATGTATGTAATCTATTTTGTTTTATATTTATAACATATGTTTTGATTTATAGTAAAAGCACCAGAACCACGTACTGTAATGGAAGCATTACAACAACGACATGAAGAATTAGTCAAGCGACATCAAGAAGCCATTAGTAAAGGAGAGAGTTCTAAAGCAAGACGAATGGATCGACTTGCCAAAGTACAGCTTTTGTTTAAAAAGAAAAATTAATCTCTCTTTCGTTCTTCTAATAGCAATATCAAGAAGCTATTGATGCTACACGAAAAGGTCGTCCATTTGATTATAATGAATTAGCAGAATTACCTGGTTTTGCACCAATTCCTATTCAACAATCGAAACCTCCTCAAGTACAACCATCTACTACTGGTACTATTGCTGCTACAGGAGCATCAGGAAAACCATTGCAATCACCTACATTAGTACGATCATCACAAGCTCCACAACAGCGAACAACTCTTCCAACGAGTTCTATTCCACAACAGCAAACATCTCTTCCGACGACTTCTATTCCACAAGTAGAATCTAAACCTTCAACCAGTTAGTTAACTTCATAATTTCTGTTCTATTTTGTAATAAATTATTCTATGTTTAGATACACGAAAAGATCAGCAATTACAAACACTTCATCTTAAAAAAGAACAATATATAAAATTTGCTTTACAAGCTAAACAGAAAGGTATATTTATTCGTTTTCTTTTTTATTATGATAAATATATCTTTCTATGATTTATAGGTGATATTGATACGGCTAAAAAACATCTTTTGGCTTCTAAAGAAATTGAAAAAAAGATTGAATCTGTTGAATCTGGATTATCTATTGATATGAATCAAGTATTAGAATTGATTTTTACTTCTATAATAATTTACATTGAAAAAAACTATTACATATTTATTTTTTTTAGGTATCTGAATTAGCTAATGAAAATATTGAAATTATTCATGAGGATGAATTAACAGAAGAAGTTCGACAATCTGATCGTCATACAATATATCGTCGTTTAGAAGATGATCTTCTACGACAAATGCAATTATGTGCACGTAATCAACAAATGTATGCACAAATGGAAGGTTCAAATAATATAAAACAAGCAAATGAATTTAAAATTCTTGAACAACGTTGTGCACATGATATAGAACAATTAAGAAAATGTTTTCAACAAGGTTTAAAACCACCCGTATTTCATTATGAAACAAGAAAATTGAATATTATACAAGTTAATGATGATTTAACAGATCAAGATCTTGAGGTAAAAAAAGGACCTAAGTAAATTCGTTCTATTAAATTAATATGATTAATGGTTTAGACGAGGAGAAAATAATAGTTTGCTAAACATCTGTTCAGTTTTTAGAATGGTATTCCAAAAAAAAAGAATGTAGACTATTTTTGATCTCGATTACTTGAAATGTCTTGACAAAAAGAAAGAAATTAGTTTGTTTGAACATAGATAAGAGTGACTTCTATGAAGATGTTTCTCTAAATCTTGATAGCATATTTTCATATTTAAATACATGAAAATGTTAAGGTGATCATTTATGATTTAAAATACAAAAGACGAAAATAAGTTATATATGATACTTGTTAAAGTAATCTTTATGGAAATAGAATAGTGCACAATATTTCTTACTAGCGAGAGCCCGTGCATACTGCACAGCTGTTTTCTCCTTTAACGTATGACCTAAGACGTTTAACTTTTCATTCAGGAACAGACATACAGACACTCGATATTATGTATATAGATAGATAGCCCTACGGCCTTGTATTCCTTGTAGCTACTGTAGCCTTATCTCCTTATTGCCTTACAACTTACTGATTTAGTCCCTCAGAACCTATGGCTACCACCATATTATAGCTCTTCATGTCCTATAGATATACCATATAATTGCCCTTGAGGACTTATAGGGACCTCCGTATAATAGCTTTTAAGTACCTATAGATACCCCCATATAATAGCCCTTGAAGACCTTTTCCTTATAGTCTTATTTGATCTTTGACCTTGAGCAGAGAAACAGACACTGAGCATTATATATATAGATGATATTTATGCTAGTTTGTTGATCAAATGCAAATTCTTTGAGACTTCATGTTGAGAAATGGTTGACTGATAGAAATATGACTGAAGTTTGCGTGCATCCGGTCAGAAAACGAGATGTTCATTGAAAATTCTGATCTCATGATTTTTACTGGAAACTTACGGAAGTGATCAATGTTTATTTCAATAATTCAGTTATCGATTTGTTGGAAGTTTTTCTACAAAGTTCCAATAATGGCAAATTTAGCTATCGTGTGTTTGACAATAGACAATGTATCGCTTGAGATCAAGAAACTTTTTTTAAAATATATACTTTCTTAGGCCATTTTATAAAGAAAAAAAACACTTCATATTGAAAACGAAAACTTATGTCGCATTATTAATTCTTCATCTATGAAAGATTTTTTTGATCGTTTATATATTGGAAAACTTGAAGATGAATCAAGATGTAATAGTAGCGACGTTCTATAACTCAACAAAGTTGGATCGTTTTTTTTGCCTTTGAAAATAAAAGTTTTTGAAAAAAATTATACAAGGAAAATTTCAAAAATATTGGTTTGTTAAATTGTCATGGTATGTCTTGGTTATATTTTGCAATCAAATTTTAACTGTCTTCTCGGATAAAAATAAGGTTTTGGTCAGAGAGAGAGAGCAGGTCTTGAATATCTTGATGATAATTGTGGCACAATTCTATTAATTGTTTCATTTCATTTTTTGCAATATTACTACAACTTATTAACTCATAATATTTAGAATTAATAAATGTATTTGTTATATTGTATTAATAGCGTTTGCATTTTATGTCGGTCATCTTTGAAATATTCATAGTATAAAATAAAATGAAAACAATAAATAGTCAACAAACTGGCTACAATTAAATAAGATAACGAGAGTCTGACGTAGTCGTTTTGCCTTTTGTTATTAGACAAATGCTATTAATCAATATTCATTTGTTTAGTTCTTTTTAGTCTTTTTGTACGCACTTAATTATACTTTTTGATACTTGAAAGTTTTTGAAATACTTCAAGAGCTATAGATCTATTTATATATTAATGTTTGCACGTATTCATACTTTTTTAAAGTACCATATGGTATATACAAAAAGCTTCAAAAATTTATCATACATTTAACTGATGGTCTTGTTTTTCTTGTATCTCAAGATGGTTTTAACATATAGAGTTGCCTTTTCACCAAAATGTAACCCTGTTTTCATAATTTATTTGTTCAAAATATCAGTTTATAATATCATATATTTATTAGACAAGACTAGAAATACTTCAAAACGATGTCCCTTTATATCATTAAAAACTGATTCAATAGAAAGACACATTTGAAAAATAATTCGCACTTTCTTTCTAGTTAAGAGCATTGCGAAAACTGCAATTTCTCATTCAAAAGGATGAAATTCGACATTTTTAAGGATATAACCCTTTCGTGAAACCTGACAAAGTTTAGCGACTTGTTATAAATCCAAAGACTCATACGTTTTTTTTTGTGTTTATAAACAATTTTAAGGCATACGAACTGAATCAATCCTTAGGTGAAGACTGATCATCCTACATTTGTGTTTAAAACGTGCAATGATAATCCTGTCACTTGAAGATATTATTCTGTTCATACACCCAGCAAAAAGATTGATGAACCTAGAAAGTTATACGAGGATATATGAATTCATAGAGGGTCACAAAATCTTGTCGGAGTTTACGTTAATGACGATAAATGGATATGATGGCTTATTTTTTTTTTTTTGAAGTGTGATAGATGATCAGATTTAAGTGTTGTTGTATCTTTTGAATATCTATTGATAGTTTAGAATATTTTCTTATTTCATATACAAAAAAAAACAAGTTTTCTTTTAAGGTAAATGTTCTTCGTGGTATAAATTTACGTGTTCCATCGGGTTTTTCGTCAACATCTATTGAAACTTATGTTATTATTGAATTTCCTTATCCACCGGAAACTCCACAAACAGCTCGAACACATCATGGAACTGGTTCAATAAATGCTGAATATTCTGGTTCAATACATAAATTTCATATAAAACGAAATGATGGAAAATTTAAACGTTTAATGAGTCGAAAAGAATTAAAATTATCAATATTTTATCGAGTTGGTTTTCTTCGTACCGATCGTCAATTAGGTATAGCATCAATTAAATTAGCACCATTAGAACAAATACCAACAATACATGAATCAGTTGATATTCATGAAACAGATCATAAAAAAAAACCAGAAGGAAAATTAGAAGTTAAAATACGTATTAAAGAAGCATTTGGACCAACAAAATCATCTGAAGTATTATCACAACAATGGCTTGTTATTGATCGTTTTGAAGAAAAAGTAAATTTTGAAATTAGTTAATTTTCAATTACTTTTGTGTTTCACTATTTGTTTAGTCTAATAATAGTAAATCATCAACATCAAAGTAAGTTATATATATATATATGTAGATTATGCTTAGAAGCTTCTTCTTTTGCTTTTTTGTATTTTCAATGGAATCCATAATGTCCTATCGTAATGTTCATTTTTATTAATCAATTTTCATTTTGTTTTTGTCTTATATTTGGTCGATCATCCTATTTTTTCAGTCTACATCTCGTAACAAATGCTACAACGAATATCAACAAACACACATCGTCATTTTGTACATGTTTATAAATCCAATTTTGCGAAAACAATAAAATACAATCAATTAATGAACCTAAAAAAAAAAAATGAAGAAATAATTGTTTAATACATATACAGATTTTTTTTCTTCTTCTTTTTGTTTTATTAATCTTTTTCTTTCGCTCGCTATCAAAGCTTTATTACTAGTATATTTTTCTTGTGTCTTTATTCTTGTATTTTTCTATTAACACAAAATAGAAAGAGAATAATTTTGCTCTAAATTCAGATCACCATCAACAGCTCCATCGATTAATGCTATTGCATGCCTTGTACCTAGAAGCGATGCTCTAGGTTTCTTGGCACTAAATTTGGCTAATCATTTAAATAATAATAATAATAATGATAATGATAATGATGCGGTAATTGATAGCAGGTATTTTATAGAAGTGTAGTAAAAAACCAACATAAGACAATTGTTTATCCAATCATTTTTTTCGTCACAATATGCATGCATGCATCACATGTTTTTTGCTAAATTATAGTTTTGAGCTATGTTTGTTTTATAATAATCTATCATTTATTTATTTTGATCTAGTCGATCAAATATAATTGAATCAAATAATGATAATCATCATCGTGATAGTCAACAATCAGTTGGTTATCAAAGTATACAAGTACTTAAATATGAAGCAGATCTTCTTCAAGAACAGGTTTATTGGATTATGGAAAATAAGTTTTTACTATTATTATTTTTTTTTTTATTAAATTAGATCGAAAAACTTGAAGATTATCTTACAAAAGATCAAATCGATCAATTACGAGTAAAACATCAAACACTTTTGAAACAAAGTGATGAAATAGTTGCAAATATACGTCAAGGTGGGAAACAAGCTGTACAAGGTATAATCATTTTTTTTATATTTCGTTTAATGTTTTTTTTTTTTACTATATGAACTTTTAATAGAACATGTTCAAGGTCTTGAACAATTAATGGAACGGTATAATAAAGAAGCAGATGAATGTCGTCAACGAAATGATATAAAAAAAGCTGATCTATTCGTACATAAAAAGGATCTTGTTGCTAAAGAAGTAATTAGAATTACAATTCATTTTCTTTTAATTGTAAATTTCTTGATATTTTTTTTTCCTTTCTTAGATTGAAACATTTATCAGTTAATCATAATTGCCAGATTTAATATTATATTACAATTTGTCCATTTTTATTCAGTCGATTTATTTATTGTACTTAACTTTGATTGCTTGTTTGCATGAATTATTATATTTTTTTGAAAAATTCTTTTGTTAACATAACAAAATATCTATTGCTATTAGTATCAATGGATAAAAAAAATTTATATCAAACTCGAATTCTGTGTGTGTGTCTTTCTAGATTAAGTTATAAATAATCTCAAATGGATTCTTTAGCAACTCAATTAGAATCCAATTCTTCAAGAAATACATTCTTATGTCTCTCACAATATTCCATTTGTCTTACAGCTGGTTGTTTATCAGAAAAAAATAAATGGCGTGAAAATCTTCTTAATTTATATGCACGTATTAGTTTATGTCGTACAATTAATCGATCATTAGATTATTTTGCTTGTCTTTCAAGAATTCGTAAATATGGTCTTGGACAAAATGTAATTTATTTATTTATTTCTTAAATTGTTTTTGTTTTTTTTTTTTTTAAATTAAAAAAAACTAATTATTTAGGATTCAGTATCATCTAGTATCAATCGTTTTTTAACATTAGCTGGTAATCTTTTTGATTTCATTTATTATCCTGCTGAATGTATAGCATGGTTATATGAAGCAAATGTATTTGGAGCAAATCGATCATCGAGACCATTTCGACTTGTTTCATTAATTTGTTGGTTATCAAATATTATTATTTCAATTATTAGGTATTTAAAATTATTTATATTTGAATTGAATTATATATTCTTTTTTAACAATTATATTTTTATTGATAGAAATACACTTCAATTAATTAAATATAAAAAATTATTGAGAGCAGAAAAAAATAAAGATAGAAATAGTAAAGAAATACGAAGGTTAGATTTTTATTGAAAGAAAATTATAAATTTATTTTTTATTTTTATATGTTGATTATTTTTTAGCCCAATGGTACCTTTATCGGAGATGTATAAATGTATGTTGACATTATTAAATAATATTTGTTTTTTTCTCAATTGTATTCATTGGCTTGCCATACCAGGATTTTTATGGTCAGGAAAATTACCTGTGTTTATTGTTGGTTTATGTGGAACTTTAGCTACGATATGTAATATTGTTAAAATGGCATTATAATCGTTCTATCAAGAACATAACCAAAAACTTGTGATAATCATTTTTGTAATTTTATGATTTTTAATGATATGATTCTTGTTCCATAGATACAGTGTTTTATCCAGATTTCATCTTCTAAAGGAGAAATTTAAAAATTCAAAAGGATGAACAGTATTTTTTTGTGAGAGCATATAAACATAGTATGTACTACAATGACCACAAACTCTGCAAAGGTCAATCGAATTTTCGAAGAAGCATTGCTCTCTCGATCTCCTCATTGGATAAAACACTGACATAGATATATCAAGTATTTAGTTTTTTGATTATGAAAATTTTTGTTTTCCTAGAGAAAGAGAAGTTCAGTAAATTTAATTAAATTGATATTGTGATAGAGACATTGTTGAAATAAACCGTACAGAAATTGTCATAAGCCATTAATAAGAATATTATTAATTAATAAATAACAAAAAATTTAAATAAATATTTTTATTTAGACTATTCAAATTCATCTAATTTCAGGAAATCATAGATATTTTCTTTTTATTAGCCATTATAAGTTATCGAAATACAATATTGATAAACGATATTCGTTTGGATAGTCGAACTAATGGTAACTAGAAAAAAAATAATGTTAATATATTTGATATTGATCAATATAGTAACTGTACGACGATCGGTTATCATTGTCAATAACTACAGTAATTACTATGTCACAAGTGCATATAGATGAACAGAGTAGATACTATAATTGATGATTGTAATTGTCCCATTATCGAAGGTTAAACTACTAATCAACTCGGTATTTGATGTATTAATGTCAATTACATGCGTGTATCATCCATGAAAAATACAAGTTCAATTAGTTTGACAAATTAAAACATGATTAAAGGTTGTTTTTTTTTGTTACTATATTATCGTACGAAGGTAGATGTAGTTCATAAAAATGTATATAGAGTCTAAAAATTCTATAAAATTTCAAAGAATTTTATTTGTTAAACTAGATAATAAAAAATAATTTGTAGTTTATGATGAGATGTATAACTTAAATATTTTCTCTAGAATTCATCGAGGTAGTTGCGAATTTGTCATATGCTGATTCGAAAATTTTGACCCTAATTAGATTCTATCTGTGCTATTTTCGTAAAACACCTGAATGTAATCAAAATTCTATGGGTTGTTTCATACATCAAAAACATATACAGATTGTCAATATTGAAAATCAGATTTTATGAATCTACGAAAAAACAAAACAACAAACATCAATGAACTATTGTACCAAGATGATTGATCAGAAAAACATTTAATCAGAAGAGTTTCATGAAATAAAACAACAAATATTCATTTGAAACTATTGTTTTTGTGCGTATAAATGCTAGAATTTTTTGAATGTTAAATAATGCCATGATTGATTGTCTAATTCATGGAATTATAACTTATTAGTTGAACTTCAAAAAAGAATAAGAAACAATGTAGTAAGTTTTATATTGGAAATATAATCTATGAGTTTTATGCTTTGTTTTTTTTTTCTAAATCGTGAACTGAACAATATTTCAAACAAGATAAATGAATACAAATACATTAAAATTATAGAAAAAGAAAATTTACGATTATTTCATTGTTATTCTACGTTTATAGTCGTATATGTATATATATATCGTGTCTACAATATTAATACCAATGATTAGGATGTGTTGATGAATGTATATGAGTTGATGTAGCCTAACAAAAACAAAAAAAAAAAGAAATAATTGTTAGAAATCAATTAATTGTCATCACGAAAAAGACAACAACTTACGCCAGCTAATCTACTATGTGTCATAATATCAGTCACTTCACGATCTTCAGGTAACATGGCTGGTGAAAGAGCGGATTGTGGGTATTGATGGTGGTGGTGTTGTTGTTGTTGTTGTTGTTGTTGATTCTGTTGATGTGTTGATTTTGCTATTTTACCTAATTTAATTAAAACATGTACTAGACGTCGAGCAGATATTGGTTCGTTCGCTTAAAAAAAAAAGATTATATTAAAGAAAAATAAGTAAATAGATTTATCTTACTATTATATTGAAGATCACGTGCAGCTGATGTTAAATCATTTTCTGTTAATGATATGCCAAAACGTTGTAAAATACTAGGTAATACATGATATGGTAATCGACCTGATGGGTCTGTTCGAAGGAAAATTTCTATAAAAGAAAACCATATATGTTGATCATAAGAAGAAGATAAATATTAGAAAATAAACCATTTAATTGACGAATAGTTAATCTATCACCACTGTTACCATTATTAATTATCGTTGTTGTTTCTTTCTAAATAAATCAAGAAAATTATTGTTTCAAGTAAGCTAAACTTTTCTTTTACCAATGGAATATTTTGTTCTCGAACAGGTTCTACCGTTGGAACAATAGTATTATTAACTGGTACATTTGTTGGATGAGATCGATGATGATGATGATGATGATGATAATAATGATGTTGATTTTCGATAGTCGTAGGAGGGGGTGGTTGTTGTGGTTGATTATGATAATTATTTGGAGGTTGACCACGAGGACCTGTCTCAACACTATGAGCACGATGTTTCGAATTTCGTCGATTTTCTATAGTAACATTATCATTGTTATTATCATCATTATTGACAATTGGACCTGCTCGTCTATGAGTCGCTGTTGACCATGCAGCAGGCATTTGCATTGGTATTTGTGGTTGATATATAGGCTGAGTAGAGTGATATTGTTGTTGATTTGGATAAAATGTATGAAATGATGTTGGAAGTGTAGCACCTCTATTTGGATCAGATTTAGTCTTAGATGATAATGGATGATTACGTGTTGAATGAATAGTTGCATTACCACTATTTCTTGCTGATTTTCCTATTGATGTTGGTGGATAAACCGATGGTCTATAGAATCAATTGAATAAAAAAGAAAATTTTTTCAATATAAATTATTGATTTACTTTTGATAACCAAGAGCAGGAAGAGGTGGTTGACCATAATAATATGGTTGTTGATATAATGGATTTTGTTGTGGTAAAAATGTTGGCTGCATATAATTATTTGATGGTTGTGCTTGTTGTGGTATTACAGGATTGCTATAATAATGTTGAACAGGTCGTGATTGTGGCCACATATATTGAGGTTGATTACCATTGAATACGTAAGGTACTAAGGCTCTTGGATGATCTCGACTACTTTTCTTTCCTTTATGTTTTATATGTGCTACATTAAAAGGACTATCACGTGAATTAGTGCGATGATGAGTATTTTGTTGGTGTTGTTTTCTTGATTGTGATGTGATTGAAACTTCCTGATCTTGAGATGATGTTCGATAATGATCAACTTTAGGTTGAATATTACTTGCCATACGCATTGAAGATGTTGTTGCTTGAGCTAATGTATTATTATCTGTTGCAGATGTTATTGATGCAACATGATCTCGTGAATGTGTACGACTACGTGATCGTTCAGAATCTCTTTCTGTTTTTATATCTTCTTTTATTTTTTCCGATTTTGTTGATATATCAAGATGAGATTGATTATTTTGTTGAACACCATTTGTTTTTATTTCATTATTTGACGTAGTTTTGCTTGATCGTTTTTCAACAAGTATAACACGTTCAACATCAGCTTCATATTTAACTTTGACTTTATATCTTCCTGTTCGAAAAAGTTCTAATGCAGCTGGATAATCACGAAGTAATTGTTCAACTTCTTTAGCATTTTTCACACTTCGAGAACCTTCCATAGTATTTTGAACTAATGAAAATTAAATTAGATTTTATTTAATCCTGAAAGAAAATGAAATTAGTTTACATTGAGCTTTTGTATAGGGACCACTTTGAACAGCGGTTGCTGTAGTATTTGTATCCAAAGACGAGACTGTACTTACGGGAGTAGATGGTTTCATAATAGTAGTAACAGGCATGTGTTGTTCTTATTTGTTAAAAATATAAACTAAAAATGGAAAACTAACAACAAAAATGATTCAGCAAGATAATTGATTTAACTAAATCGTTTGATAAAATCCCTATAACTTTAATTAAATAATTATGTAATCTTTTCAACTAATTATTTTTTCACGTATTTCACCTTTTTCTTTGAAACGAATAGTCTAATTAAATTATCTCTTAGTCAATATATACCTATTATTAGATGATTTAAAAAAAAATAATAAATCGACATTTTCTTTTATACAACTTACTAATTTCAATATAATCGTGAAATGAATACTTCTATGTCGATATTCTATATCCAACTTGAATTACCTTTGACCATCATCTTTTCTTTTCTATTAGTCTTTTGGTTACGCTTTCATAACACTTTAACAAAAAAAAATGAAAAAAGAGAAAAGAAAAAAAAATGCAATAATGATGAGAAAAAGAAGAACGTGAACCGTAACAGTTACATATATCAAAGGTAAAAGAAAAAGTGAGTTGTCCGATTGAATCAAATAACTAACGCAATTAGTTTTGTACATAGTATGTATTCAGACGGTCACTGGTTTCGCTCGAATAATTTCGAATATGATAATGTGAATAAGCAAGAAGAAAAAAAATTGTATGAAGAGTTACATTTACATTCTTTCCATTAGACATATGTAATAAAGCGTTCTTTTTTTTTTTTTTTCTTTAATATAATATATATATTTATCAATTCATAATGAATGCATTTCGTATCTATATTGAAAAATATGATTACAGTTCAAATTGATCAAATAGTTCATTTTAAAAAATTTATTTTATATATGTAATCAAAATGCACAAAAAAGAAAAGAAAGAAAATAAAATAAAATATAATGTTCTTCTTGATTATAATAAAAATTTGAATTGGAAAGTTTTATATATCAATTTTAGCAATACGATGAACAAGTTCATCAAAATTATAACGAATTTTAAATGTTGTTGGTGTTGATTGTTTTGTCATCATACCTGTTAATTCTTCATAATTAATTAAGTCAGGTGTCAAAGTCATGACACAATGAGCAAACCAATTATATGGTTTAACAAGTAAACATCCTTCACGTTGTAACTATAATTAAATATTAAAATAAAGACAAAAGTTAAAAAAGAAAACAAATAGTAATCTTTTTAACTTACGAGTGTAGCTAAAGCTCGGTCAGATGTCACAATAATTGTACGTTTATTTTTTTCACGATTTTCAGGTTGTCGTACTATTTCAACTAACATATCATCCGTTGTTCGATATTTTGGTTGAGCACTTGTTACTTTAACTGTACCAATTTGTTCTACTTGATTTGTTGAATCAAATATAAGTTCAACATGTGGTATATGCATTTGTTCATTCCATGCTGAAGCTATTTCTCCTAAAGCACGTTCAGTTTTTTTACCAGCTCGATTTAAACATAAACGACGAAGACAATCAACAACAAACATCATATTATTTCCATCGAAATAAACATGTTCGATATTATGTGGCCAATCATCTCGATTATTTATTGTTATATAAGCATTATGAGCTTCAGATAATAATGTACGTTTCTATAAAACAATAAAAAAAATATTTATTAATTATTTTTGTTTATGTTTATAATTCAATCTTACGAATTTTCGTTCTTCTCGACTTCGAGCACGTCGTTCTCGTTCTTCTGCAGTTCGTGCAATAGTCATTTCAATTGATTGATTACATTCATAAAAGATTGATAAGACTTTCATTGGATTTCCATGTACACCAGCTGTACGAAGTCGTTTAAGATTATTAATATCATCAACACTTAATTCACGTCGTTTTTTCCATATTGGAAGTGTTTGATTAGTTTCTTCTGTTGTTTTATTTGGTGATTTACTTCGATGTTTATGTCGATATTCTTTTCGTTGTTCATGTTTTACTTTTCTTTCATTTAATAGTTGTTTAACAACATCAATTTGTCCATCAGCTTTTTCTAATAAACGTATTAAAATACGTTTATTTTTAATAGTTACACCATCAGCTTCAAGTTGTGCAATTTGATTTGCATATTTTGTATCAAGTTCAGCTAATTTTTCTTTTTTTTCTGTACGACGTGAATTTTTTTCAATAATCTATTATATATAATTGAAATATTTAATTATGAAACCTTGATATTCTATAAGAATAAAAGACAATTTCCTACCTTATTAACATCACCTTGATTTTTTTCCAATTGTCGAAGTAAACATGGAGAATTAACATTAATACCAGCTGTAGCTAATTCAGCGATTTGAGTAGCATATTTTGTTTTTAATTCTTCTCGTTTTTGACGTCGAGATACACCTGAATTTTCACCTTGTTGATTACGTCGTTCTTCATTTCTTTGTAAAAATTTTCGAACTTGTTCAACATCACCACCAAAACATTCCATAGTTTTCAATAAACGAATACGTTTACATTGTTGAGCCGATGGAAATTCTTGTTGTAATTCTGTTACGATTGTACCAAATCGTGCTTCAAGTGTATTCAATTTGTTAGCACGATGTTCTCGATGAACAAGAAGTGCACGAACCTAATTGAAATACATACATATATTTTAATCTAAAAAGTTAATTTTAAATTTGTTCTTTTTTTTACGCCGATATATATATATCGAGCAACCTCCATTCCCCCGCATGAGAGGTATTAGCGGGCTGTTTTGAATATATTTTTTAAATAGAAATATATATTATACCTGATCAACATCACCAGCATGTCGTTGTAAAAGACGAATTAATTTGTCTATTGGTTCTTGTGCAAAACGTTCTTGAAGAATGCGTAGTTGTTCAGCATATTGCTGTTGATTTGTAGCCATAGTTATATTTTGTTGCAAATAATATGAAATGAAAAAAACAACAAAAAAATCTTGCCTTTTATACTACTCATTATGAATGAATAATCTTCAGAAGTTGCGCAATAATAATGAAATAGTATTACTAATTTTTGTTACTTAACCAATCAAAAACTGTTGTCGACGTGGCAAAATATTACTATATTTAGATACTCTCCTACTCAAATATGATGAATAATGCAAACAAAAAAATTTGCACTTAACAAAAAATTGTACGGTGTAAAAGAGTACAAACAAAACTAATGATTAAATTTCAAAAATGATCTCGTCTTTCTTTGACATCATTCATCAAGATCTTTTTAAATTCATTATTCTAAACATAACAATTTTTACCGGAAAGAATAGAGATCTATAATTTTATTAATATGCGATTTTCTTAACATTATGTTGTGAAATCTATTGCACATGACCCCAAGTCATATCTATCAATAATTTAATTATAGCATTTTGTTTCGCTTACATATAATGATAACTCTTACATGCTTCTTATTGTTTTTTTATTTATTTATTTATTTTATTTTCTAAAAATCCAGTTGAATAATTAATATAGCTTTTAGAATCATGTCAATTGAACGATCATGTTAGGTGATTTTGATTCACATGATGTTTAATGACTAGTTTACCAATATTTGTACTATCATTTGAATTCATTGTTAGAACAAAAAAAAGCAAAATCCAGATTTAAAAGAAATGCACAATTAACAAAAAAAAAACTCTTCGATGATATTGTGAACAATTAGAGACCTATGGTGGCGCCACAAGAGGGTGAAGCCATCTCAAAAATTGTTTTGAGCATTTCCAAAATATTTTGAAAGTTATTGCTAAGGCTGATATCAACGGAAGCATGAAAAACTCGCCACTGCTCCTTCTCTGGCTTCAGAAATCCTAGTGCCGCTGCTACTAGAGACATCGTTTAATAGATGTCATATAAAACAAATCAAAAATGTTTTAAATTTTATTTTTCAATAATAATAATAATAATGAGAGAACTAAAGATTTTATTTTTGTTGTAAAATAAAAGATAAATCGATCATCTATAATAAATTTACATGTGTCGATTAAATAAATATTAATCCAAAACAAAAAAGAAAAAGTTTTGTTTTATTTACCTTTGAGTGTCAAAAAGGAGGTTATTCATTGTTTGAAAATGTCCATTTGAATGGCTGCCATTGTTTGTTAAATTTTTAACGATATGATGGTTTCACACTTGTTCAATCTATTTAACAATGTCAACATCATCGATCATAACAACACGAAAAACACGGTCAACATGTGTTATATCAAATTCTATGGATGTTTCAAATATCCACGATGATTTTCATACAAATCTTCATTCACCCGTACAATTTACTCATATATACAATCAATATTATCAGTCTCTAACAAATCGATCAACATTATTTAATATTCTTTGTCATATATTAACAATAGAAAATGTTGATAGAAAAATTTGTTTATTTATTCTTGATTGTTTAATAACAAATTATGATTGTTTATCTGATATACAATTTAAACAAGATTTATTACCATTTATTAAACAAATATTTCTAACAAAGGACAATAATAATAATAATGAGGTATTATTATCAATAATACGTTTATTTATTGTACTTGTTGAATATCGATCAAATATTCTAATATTAACCTTAGTTGAATGGTTATTATGTTTATTAAATTTTATTGCAACACATATTACATCAACAACATATTTAATATATGGTGATTTAATTATTGATTTACTTTCAAAAATAATTAAACAATATACACCATTATCAAAAGAAATTGTTGAAATTCTTAGTCGAACATCAACATCATTAATTATTTCAATAAATTTTCTTCATCAATTAAAATTATGGATACAAAATATAGATGATGTACGATTAGCTTTATTTACTATTCATTTATGGGAATCATTAGCTATTCTTCTTAGTCGATTGATAATACGTGGTCATACAAAAGGAAATGAAATTTTAGCTATTATTGAAGATGGTAAGTTCTTGTCGAAAATCATATAATTAAATTTTATTTATTGACTTATATTAAAAAGTTGAATATCTTTCGTTAGTTCATATAATTAATTCAAGTTTAAGATTTTATTGTTCATTAGATTCAAGGATTATTTGTTTAGG